CAATTGCGTTGATTGATGCTAATGATATTAATCACTGGATTGTCTGGTCCAGATTTGATTATTTACAGGCCGCTGTATATATATATATATATATATATATATATATAGCTGGACATATTGCTGAGTGCAGCATTAAAAAACAAACAAACAAACCTTAGTTGATCAGGTGGCCCTGTTGTCTGAGGTGCTACATTTTGTGTCCCATTGGCATGACAGAAATCTATGATCGTGGTTACGAATCCCAGATATTCCCTGATAATGTTTCTAGATTTGTCAGCACCATACCCGTGCTCATTGGTTTCACTTAGTTGTGGGTTCGAATCCCAAATTATGATTTTTTATTTGTAAGCACCATGACTGCGCTCCTCCCACACGAGGAAGCCGACACACCATGATGGATGATGCACCTGAAATATGCCCCTGGGGAAGGTTTATGAACCAGCTTGCGTTTAAAAAACCCTATCCTTCCAGACATTTCGGCTTAGCCAACCTCTATGTACTCTTTGTGTGAGTATAGCCTTGGCCAACCGGGCTACTAAGTGTATTTCAAAGCAGATATGCTACTATTTCTGAGAGCAATTAAGCTGACTCCTGTGTTAAACCCACCTCTTTTTTTTGGAGACAATGGAGTTCCTAAATCTAGTTTCAGAATTATTGCACCTTGAAAAGAGACCAGGAAGAGATTCAGCCTCCCAGAATGTAATGTAGTCCTAATTCTGTTTGTTAGAAAGCTTTTTGGATCTGTTGTATTGATCACAGATGTCTCCCTACAGCTAATACGTTTCAATGTTTGTAACAAATGAGCTGGCTGCACCAGTATGACATGCAATAAAGCATTAATATTGTTGAGGGTTTTTTATCTGTCACATATATACTTTTACATTCTCTTCTTGTTATTGTGGAAGAAAACTGAGTAAATTATAGCCTGTAATAAGGGAGTGCAGTATTACTAATATACAACTGTACATTGCAATATGGCAGTCAGAAATACACATATTGTAATACAACCCTTGCATATCAATATATTGTCAATACAGTAAAAGAGTTAATATATTGTTATATAGATTATATCTACTATCTTGAGGGATTTGGATGGACTGGGTTCAAATCTAAACTACATAAACAGCACACGCTTCACGCTTTTTACATTAACATTACAAATTGATGATGTAATAGGTAGTCTTGTTTATCTATACTGCCCATCTCGCAAATCTGAAGTCTGGATTATTGAATGGAGAAATACCATTTGAACAGCACAAATATATATACTTGAGCTCCAGTACATCTTGCATTATGTATTGCAATACAACTCTCCATATTGCAATATAATGCAATGCGTTTTATGTGTCAATACACCATCCCTTACTGAGTCTGTAATGCCTATCGAAAAAATTTAAATGTCTTTCTGAACCATGCATGAAGGTTTTGTGGAAATATTATTTTGATATAAACATTCCTTTCATTCAGGGCATTTAAGATTCATGGAATAATGTAGTGGTTGTTCTGCAGGTTTATTATTCATAAGTTCACCAAAAGTCCACATTTGCAGGGTGTTTAATATTCAAGTTCTACAGCAATATGTCTTCAGAGACCCCAGAACTCACCTTAAAGGTGAACACTGATTTGGGATCAAGTTGAATCTAGATACATTTTCCAAATTTAAGAAAAGTATTAAAGCATTTAAGATCCAACTTTCAGAGCAGTTCATGTGACAATCTCCTGAATAAAAAGTGGTGCAAGATTTAAATTACACAAAGTACTGTACCCTTTAAGTAAACTGAAAGATTTTACTCATTGAAAGTCAATCACTAGTTGAACTGTCAAGATCGTTTGTCAGAATGAGTACCATTGGAAGATTATTATCTGATTTCCAGTATGAGACGCCCCCCTTACCTCATTAGAAAGACATGTAGGTCAGCCTTCTTCATTAAAAAGCATTGTACTTAAACATGTCAAGATCAGCCCCTGAACTTCATACACCTCCCTCATAATTATTTCCGCTGGCGTTTAATTGTCCCCACCTCTTTGTTTTTATAAATAGCCCAGCCTCAAAAAGAAGGAGAAGAATGTTTGATCTACACGAGAATACTTATGTAATACGTTTTTGTGTGGTGCAAAGTTCAAAGAACCTTCTTTCATCCTTGATTTTGGAGAAAAAGTTGACTGGTTCCTGTCTGAAAATGTTGAAAGTTGTAAACAACATGAGACATCAAAGAGGATCAGTTTTAATTAGATACAGGGGCCTTGTTTGTTATGGTGGATGAGGATGTAATTGACATGCATGATACTGAAACAAATCAGTGATTTACAAAAAAACGCATGAACACCTCCTTGATTAAATTGGATTCTAATATTCTGAAGACAGCGGAAGAAACTAACATTTTTAGTCCAGTAGTCCTTATAATGATGACATATAGCAAAACCTTCCAAAATGGCAAATTTCTACTTGTCCTTATGATACCTTAACTATTGGCCAGTTGGGCAAGGACAACAGGACTAGTGCCAATTTCTAACACTGGAAGACATATTATATTGAATGTTGTTACCTTGGCTGGTTATACAAAATGGACCTTACAGCTGTGAGTGGACATTACAGTTAAGTAAATAGCATTATTGTGGCTGAGCCTTTAGTGTTGAGGAAAATCTCAATACAAAAAGGCTTGGAGATCTAGTATTTTGGTGAGCTACAGTGTCATGATGACACCCCATGTCATTGCAGGATCAACGACATGGGTTAACATTGCAACCTGTGTCACTTTCCATTCATGTTACAACCAACTGTAAAGCTTACAGAAAGCAGTATTACACCCTATATCACTCATATACTTTTTACATGGTTATAGGGTTTTTTATATACCAGTATGTGAAAAAACAACATATCTAGCTTTCATTTATTTTTACTCCCAGCATGCCCAGAGCTGACTTTTATTGCAACCTTCAGATTAAATCGTCTGCTGTCTCAGGTATCAAAGCTCATTCCAAGCCACATCACTACAATGTGCTGCATGATAAAGGAACAGTATATGTCTGATAGGTAATGGGAAATGGTCTTTTTGCAAAGGTGTTGTGTTAATGATGGTTGTGTTGAATACAGAGATGTTTGTTTTGGGGGGTTTTTTTTGGTTTGCCCCAAAATGTCTTAACATGAAAATTAGTGATATTCTTTCCGTGAGCATTTCAACCAATTATCATGAGACAGAAATAAGTTGTAATTGACTGAGCTGTTTGGAAAAATAATAAGTATCTTGCATGCTAGAACATCTTTATCTAATTTCCTATGAAAAAGGTCTGATGATTTTTATATGTTGTGTGATTTTAAGTCTATTTTTGTAAAAATCAATTCTTATCTGATGTTTGCAAATGTCTCATTCAAACAGAGCTATCTCTTTGTATATTTCAAATCATCTAATGATACATATAAAAGGCACACTTATATGTGTTGGTGCAGACTGGATTTGGAAAATAAAGAAGAAAATATGAATTTGTTTATTTAGGAATATTACAGAAGACAAGGATATTTCACCAAGATGTGATTAACTTTGTATGAGTCTGACTTGATGACACTGGTTTATTTGCCTGCAAACATGTCTAGTACCTGAACATAGATTTCCCTATCTGGTAACATAAACACCTGACAGTCAGTGTCTAGTAGGGAAAAGATACTAATCCTATAAAGCGCACTTCAGTGGCAGTTTGATAAGTTTGAAGGAGTGTTTGCTGCACGTAACAGTGCTCAGGTAGTTTGTAGCTGGCAACTGTTCGCTGGCACCAACTCATATCGGCAGATTGGGAACCTGTTTCCTTTGATATTCTTTATGAGATTCTTTGACAAAGAATTGTGGAATTTTAGTAAAACATAAAGTAAGACATTCCACAATGAGATTTCCATGTATACATTTGTTTTTTTGTTTGTAATTGTTGATAAATGGTTTTCAGGAGCATTTAAGGAATTTTGTCTAATCATGTTTATGAAAATAAATATACACTTTAACTCATATGAAGGATAAAATTGTTTTCTGTAATGCTTGTGAAAAAGTGAACATTAATACGATCTCCTAGTGTAAAGTTAGTACAAAGATCTGCCTTCTTAGTGAGAAAAATAGCCATGGGATAGGTTTGAACACAGAGAAACACATTACAAGCAGACTTTCCATCTATTCATGGCAAGGAGCTTTCTGAAGGGTACTTGTGCAGTTCAATTATTTGCTACTGTGAGAAATCCCTAAATGTTTTTGCTTACCACAAATAAATGACTCAGTAAAGACCATCCCACCTCCCCTGCATGTCAATAAAAACATGGTGACCCATGCCATGAGGGTATGATGACACATGATTAGCTAGGCCACACTAGTAATTACCCAATCCCTATTTCAGCTGAACAGAGTTGGAAATATAGAATGAAGGTCAAGTGGTCCTTGTCGGTAACCTATTCCTGATAAGTTTAGGGGGTCTGTAGGTTCAAATAGTTCAAACAGTAGCAGAACTCTCCAGGTACCCCACTTTATTTCTAAAACTGCATAGAGTATGAGAGAACCAATCCATTATGGGGTCTTCATTTAGAGGTTTGGCAGGAACTTTGCGAATGGTGTGTTGATGTCCCGAAATGTTCCCCTATCCTAGACACAGCCTCACTAACCACAACAGTTAGCCAATGACTTGGTCAAACTCACTCAGGCTTCCATGTTGTTTTGTGGTAATAAGCACTCAGAGCTCGGATGTAAAATTTACTTTTCTTTAAGAATTTGGTGTGAGTTTAAGCATATACATATTGGTCAGATATCTCTGTATTGTCATACTACAATTGTCAGATTTAAATTGCTAACAAACGGGTGTCCATCAACATTGATCTGAATCTCATGTATTTGGCAAGGTGACTACATGGCCCATCAAAAATGTATCCCATCTCAAGGAGTCCCTTACAGAACCAGGAGTAAGCTGGTGGAACAGAATGTTCTGTAGTAGGTCTGAACTAAGCTGTGTATGTTCTGCTGTTGTTTCAGGCGGAGCTGGACAAGCTGAAGTTGCTGCATGCCAGCAAGCTGGCAGAACATCAGCTGGAGATGAAGACCCGTCTGGAGGAGCTGGCCACCGAGCTGGACAACAAGTGGACAGGCACCTTGAGGTAAGCTAGGGCACCCTGTACTGTCACACATGTACTGGACAACCAGTGGACAGGCACCTTGAGGTAAGCTGGGGCACCCTGTACTGTCACACATGTACTGGACAACCAGTGAACAGGCACCTTGAGGTAAGCTAGGGCACCCTGTACTGTCACACATGTACTGGACAACCAGTGAACAGGCACCTTGAGGTAAGCTAGGGCACCATGTACTGTCACACATGTACTGGACAACCAGTGGACAGGCACCTTGAGGTAAGCTAGGGCACCCTGTACTGTCACACATGTACTGGACAACAATTGGACAGGCACCTTGAGGTAAGCTGGGGCACCCTGTACTTGACAACCAGTGGACAGGCACCTTGAGGTAAGCTAGGGCACCATGTACTGTCACACATGTACTGGACATCAATTGGACAGGCACCTTGAGGTAAGCTGGGGCACCCTGTACTTGACAACAATTGGACAGGCACCTTGAGGTAAGTTTGGGCAACATGTACTGTCACACATGTACTTGACAACAATTGGACAGGCACCTTGAGGTAAGCTGGGGCACCATGTACTGTCACACATGTACTGGACAACAATTGGACAGGCACCTTGAGGTAAGCTGGGGCACTCACAGAAGATCACTACATGAGCAAAACAAACAATTGGCTCTAGAATATCTGTCTGGTCATTTGTTCTCAAAACAAAAGTTTATTTTTGATACTTGAAGATATACAGATTGTCAGTATGTTTTTTAAACTGCCCCCAACTGTGTTGCAAAATGAACATATTTCTTCAACAGTTTCCTTTTCTTGTAAGCAGCAGATTCTCTGCACTTGTACACATCAAACATAATTCAAAATATAGTAGATATCAGATGTAGTTGGAACCTACACGAAATTGTAATAAGGAAGTTCATCCATATATCTTATCCTTACTTATTTTTTTTAAATTGTGTAGTTTATTTAAAATAATATTGAATTATATATACAAACAAAATTACTAACGAGTATTCTAATTTGTATTTTGTTCTTTATTTTTTATAACTCCTTACCGATACAAATAAAACAAGTGATTAGGTAAAATTGGGGGGGATTGCCTGTGTGTGGTTATGATACATTCATATATGGTTATTAATATCGTTAGCAAAGATTCCTCTTGTCTTAGTGTGGATGCAATCATACCAGCAAGTAGTATAGGTGAACTGTGTGCCTCCTGTTATAGGATGGAGTGTAAGAACCTGAGGGAGGAGCTGGTGGAGCAGAAGGAAGATGAGAAGAAGTCCGCTCTGGCTCAGCTGACCAGGCTGAAGGATCAAGAGCTGGTCACCATGCGGTCAGCCCTGGACACCAAGATATCGGACCTACAGAAACAGGTGGGGACATAAGTCCACTGCTGCAGAAGGAATGAAGTACCTTTAGATGTCTTTTCTTGTTTTACAAGAGGTTAATTCATGATAATCTAGAGATGCATTTCAAAAGCAGCAACCTATATGAAGATGGCATGGTTACAATGTGCATCCTGGCTGATTGTGTGTCATTGTACACTGACAGGGTGGGTGGTTGCTCATGCTATCAACCTCTGGTTTGTCTGGCTCTATCTCTTCAATTATTTACAGGCCATTGTGACACAGTTCACTCACTCATTCAATCACTCTTGTCAAAGGGCAGTTTGAGAATTCTATTTTATTCCTTATTTCAGATTGCACTGCTAGTGCAGAGTGTTCAGCAGTCCGAGTCCAAGTCCAGCAGTGCCCTAGACGCCATCAAGTCGGAGTCAGAGGCCGAGAAGAAGCGGCTGATGCAGGAGATGCTGGACGCTGCCCAAGACTATGCCAACAAGATAGCAGCCATGGAGACAGCTCACCAGGACCAGATACAGAAACTCTCCTCCACGAAGAACTCCGAGACAATGGTATGTCATGTGTCCTTGTCTTGATGTGGAGAGGCATCCAGAAATCATTATGAGTTGCCTTGGGGTTTTTTTCAACATTGTAATTTTAGTGTTAATCTCTGAAACAGTGTTGAATTTTTTAGATGTGACAACTATAAATAGCAGCAACAATTCCAGTTGTTTTATGATAATGTGAAATATTCAGCTTGTTCATCTAAAATCCCATCCAGCTGAGGCTGGGAAGCATGAGTGGCCCAGGTGTCTGAGAAACTGGAATCTGCTGTGCAGAGTTGTGTCCCCTTAGCTGTCAGGATCCACTGATCATGGCTTCAAGATTTGCTTTGATTATAATCCATTGTGTCATCTCCATACCTGTACTCATTGGTTTCAACAATGTGATCCAATGTCTAGAACATTTCTCAGTTTGTGCTTTCTCGCATGTAACATTGCAATGCCATGACAGTACTGAAATACTGTTCAAAGTGTTAACCCAACTTGGAGAAGGAGCCTTCTTTTGAGTTCATTTGATTCCCAGATATAAGTGGATGGCAAGTAGAACCAGATCTCGCAGATAGAGCCAGTCTTCAGTAAAGGTAGATCAGACTGGTCATCTTCTAACTGATGAAAATCATCATCACCTTGTGAAATCATGTTTATAGACAGCTATTCTCATACAGTAGTTGTTTGTTGTTTGTGTAGCAGGAGACTGGAGGAGCTACCAGTGGAGACTCACTACCCAAGGTTTGAAGGCCAGCATCTGTGTTGCCCTGTAGACTAGGGGGTTTTGAGAATGTGATAGTAGGCAGTTGAATGTGCATCTGATGGTGGATTAATATTGCATCCTCAGTTACCACTGTGTGCAGTGACATAGGGAATGTTTGCATGAAAGCATGATGACTAGTTACATGATCTGGTTGTCAAATGTAAGTCCCATTGATCTGAGCCACAGTTGTTTCCCTTAGAAATGCCAGGATCAGTTGGTCACAGGTTCATTTACCAGATTTGCACTGATTATGACTCTTGGTTTGTCATCCTAGTGCAGGGGCTTCACCTTTCAGGCTTTCCTTCTATGTTAAACTGACATGCCATGGTGTGACTGAAATATGTCCCAAATGACATTTACAAGGCAGATCGGATGCTACATCTGTTCCTATTCCTATGGACAACTAGAGGTTATTATTATTCCATAGCAAAGATGGAATGTTGACAAGACAGTAAGAGAACAATGGAGAGAAAAAATGAACATGAGTTCATGTGGAATTACTGTGTAACAAGACTGGTAACTCAGCCATCACAACATGTTCTAGTTCTCATCAAGGGCTGGGTATTTCATGTACATGAGTGCTTGGCATTTTCACTTCAGAAATTTGTCTGTCTGCAAACTTAAACAGAATTGAACTACCTTATGTCAGATGAAATACAAACTTCTTGTATTGCCAAATAGTGCATGTGTTGAAAACTTGAAACAAATTGGAACTGCATCCTGTAAAACCATGACATGACAGCTATATGTCACCCCATTGTATGATCATGTAAAACCATGACATAACAGCTAGATATTTCATCCCAATGTTTGATCCTGTAAAACCATGACATGACAGCTATATGTCATCCCAATGTTTGAACATGTAAAACCATGACATGACAGCTATATGTCACCCCAATGTTTGATCATGTAAAACCATGACAGAACAGCTATATTTTTATCACAATGTTTGATCATGTAAAACCATGACATAACAGCTATATTTTCATCACAATGTTTGACCCTATGAGACCATGAAGCTGTTTCATGATTTGAGCACAAATGTCAGACTTTGTGTTATGTCCACCATTGGTTCTAGTGATGACAACATTGTAGTCCTATGACCAGAAAGGACATACTTATGTCAAACATGGAGTCACAGGATGCTTTAAACTCAATAGAAAGGACTGTTTGACTTAAAAATCAGAATCATATATGGCATTGAAGTCTGTGAGCAAGGGCATGCGGTTTCTAATCTTGATAGCTAGATGGATGATGAATTAACCCTTTTGAATTTATGAGCTTTCTTCCTGATCATTTTCCAGTAGGTTAAGGTGTGCTATAGTAATATACTGATTGAAACGAATTAGGGAACAATGAAAAATATAGGGGAATAAGTTTTACTGTGAGAATCAAATGTTAAAATTTGTTTGCATGTATTGTTTAACTTCTTTCAGGTTTTGTAGTCATAATATGGACATGTGACCCACCATGGAAAAAGGGACCTTATGGGTGGTACGAGCCAATTGTGCTGTGTCGTCAACTTACTTCCCTATAATTGCCGTGTGTGCAAACTGTAAAAAAATATCTTGTTTTTCTCTCGTTATACTCATCAATTAACCAGTAATTAAGGTTTAGCTGAGGGTATATAGAACAAAGAGCTAAAGCTATATAATCATAAATTACTATGACTGTAATATTATGTTGTTAAGAAGAAAAACATTTACAGTGCATATTTCATTAGGTAACAAGCTTGTCAGAATTGTTTATTTCATTTGGGAATGAATGTAGATAGATTTTCTATTTTTGTGCTAAAGAGCTGTCAGTGACGTGTCACTTAGAGACACATCAGCATGTACATCTCAGCGTTATTGGTAAAAACCTTGTTGATAGCCATGTAAATGTGACATGGCTAGTGCAATCCCTGTTTGTGTATAGGTGTGTCTGTGTGTTAAGGAGGGGTATATTGCACTATCAGCCGGATCAGCTGTGTGTTTATAACAGAGACCTGACATGTGACGATGATTAGGACGGGATGGAAGAGGTGGAGATATCAATGATGAGCCTCAGCTGCAAGAGAGCATAACGTTTGACTGACACTCGCTAATATCATCACAGCAATATACACATCTCATAACCCTCCACACACTGTCTGGCCCTGCTCCCGACAGAGGCTGGCTTTGTTCCCTGTACCTACACTGGCACTAGTGGGGATGGAACTCTCCTCAGATAGACTTACCACGTGTGTCATGCTTCAGACAAATTGAGGATGTCAGCTGGTATGATTTTTGTGTTCACAGCGATTGTAATCATGTTTCCTGACATCATAGTACTGTATGACGTCATCAATGGAATGTTGCGCATTAAAAATTGAGGGAAATATGTAAATGTGCCTGTTTTATCCATTTGCTTCAATATAAGTACACTATGGTAGATTCAATTATCTAGATCAAAAGTACCTATCTAACAAGAAGAAAAAATACTCTGAATAGAGACCAGCAGTGATGCTTCATGTCTTATAGTGGTAGCTGGATGACAAGGGATCAGACTCCCTCTATAGTCTTCTTCTGTACCAAGCAGGAAAGGAACACTTGAGTATAAATGATTTGTTTGTTTGTTTGTTGTTTAACGCCACACTCAGCAATATTCTAGCTATATGACGGTTGTCTGTAAATAATCGAGTCTGGACCAGACATTCCTGTGATTGACATCGTGAGCATCGATCTACACAATTGAGATACGAAATGATCTGAGCCTAACTTCAAAAGGATGTAGAGTACACCCTTACCAGTATTCATGTAATAAGTTCAATACTTTCAATGTGTACAGACTGACTTTGGACCAAATATACTATGCTAATCTGCTTTGGCAAATGCGTGAGAATATCAAGGCTAATCATCATTGGAAAATTCACTGAAGGTGTGTTCCACCATGACAATACACCTGTGCGTTAGTCTGTTGTCGCCATGGCGGCAATGCATGACTGTCTTTGAAGTCATTCAACATCCTTCTTCTACACCAGAATCGGCACCATGAGATTCAAACTTCTTTTCAAACTTGAAGAAAGAACTGGCTAGCATCATGATGCAGATAATGATGACATCAATTCTGCTGGGGGTAGTCTCCTGCCCAGTCGGATCCAGGCAGTCCAGCATTGTAGGCAGAAGTGTGTGAACCTTGGAGGGGACTATGTTGAAACACAATTAGCAACCAACTCCATCAACACTGTCCATCATAGTTAGGCTCAGAACTTGTCAGCCACCCCTGGTACCTTGTCCTGCTACAGGGAATTAAGGAAATATGTTGTTAAATGGGATCGAGTTCCCAAACTTTGAGAACAGCAAATATTTCCTATGTGAAATTTAAGATATCATTTGATCAATGAACTTTCCTTGCAGTTTTAAGTCTCTTCAGGGAAATAGGGTACCGGGTAAGCAAGAGGTGATATCCTCTGCCAGCTTGATCCCTTGTTAATATCTGCCTCCCCCAACATTTCTGGAAAAGGGATTGCTTTCTCCCTAACCCATCCTAACACTTAGGTATAGAGTAAAGCTTCTGAAACTATGTCAGATATGTTCAGGATATGTTCACTGACCAGAATAAATGTATCAGTCATGATGAGCAAGTGATCTGAGTTTGGTGATAGTTTGTTACTTAATAGACTGACTGGTATATTTAGACAGGCTATGTTGAAGGAGGGTTGTTATTGGGAAATACACGCCACATCAAAGAAAATGTCAAGCGTGTTTGTTCTCGAGGTGAGGTTTGGTTATGGCATAGCTTGCAGTACAGGTGATTGCCATCATCTTTGGCAAATTTACCATGAAAAATCAAATGGAATTTTCTTGTTTTTAGAAATGTTTGCTTGACAGCAAAATAGAAGTTTACCTTTGTATTTGCTATTCCATAGTCATGATTATTTGTTTATGGTTGGAAAAATATGTTGTATCTCTTTGATCACAAGAGTTCCAGCGGTGTCGGCCCGATACCACAAAAATCTAAATTTGTTAATACCAATACCGCGAAAGGGAAAATGGGTTAATGGGCATGGTTGGGACCAATTGCATGAAAGGGAAAATGGGTTAATAGGCGAACTTGGGACAGATCGCTTGAAAGTAATCACTGGACTAAGAATTGTAACCAGAGAGAAGTGAAAGAGATAGAGAGAAGGAAGTAAACGAGTTAATCTCTTTGAGTAAATATTGGTTCAGTGTTTGTGTTTTCATCCTATATCTGACTGGACTATGAATTGTAACGTGAAGGAAGTTCAACTCAACTCAACTCAACTCAACTCATGTATTTCTTAGAAAAACCATCCATGGGGAGTACATGAGATACAATTATGTACAATTTTAATATGTACCGAAGTACAGTAAAGGAAGTGAAAGAGATATTCTCTTTGAGTAAGTGGGGCTTCATTGGTTGTATTTTCATTATAAATCTGACTATGATCAAATATTAGTAAGGACTACCGTTGAGCAGGTCATTGATTAATTAACAATAGAATCAGTTGGTTAGACTCTAAATAATAAACAGTTATATTTTTACAACACAGTAAGAGAAAGAGATAATCTTTTTGAGTAAATGTCAGTTCATTTCCGGCAAGCATTGGTTGCTGAAGACCTATTCTACCCCAGACCTTCACGGGTTGACTTGGTTGATAGCATGTAAACATACCCTGACGGCATGGATCGTTGCTCATAACATCAATCACTAGATTGTCTGGTCCAGACTCAATTATTTACAGGCCCCGTCATATAGCTAGATTACTGCCAAGTGCTGTGTTTAACAACACGCACATGCACATGCACACACACACACATGCACAAACACAAACACCCACAAACACAAACACTCACACAGATGATTGTGATATGTTAGAACCAGTTTGTGATGCTTTATCAGTACTGATCTAACTTTCATTATGTGATAGGCAAGACACTGAACAATACAATGTTATTTATTGTGTTGAAGTTATTCAAATACTCTATTCATA